CGACAATGATGGTGCCAAAGTGTTGTGCTTGGGCCCATTGACAAATCAAGACAGGACAGGAGCCTCGTTTAAAATGAATGATCAATGCCTGTTCCATGGTGAAGGTACTATACTGAGTAGGCGTAGTACTTATATGTGTACTTATCGTACTTATACTTATAAGTATGATAACTATGTTAAGTCTACTTATACCTAAGTAGCACAAGCGCGACCTAAGTCTGACCTAATTGTAACCTGGTAGAACCAAGGTTTTTCGAAGAACCGGTCATGTATCGCAAAACTCAACAAAACGCAGGAAGGACATGGCGCGCAGAGGGGGGCACACACTGCTCTATACCCGCGGAACCGGAAAATGCTGCAGCGGTGCGCATTCACTCCTAAACAAAAAACAAACCTCTGCTGCCAGGTGCGAGACAAACGCGAGACAAGGCGAGACAACGTGCGACTATCCCGCCAGAGACGTTTTGTGGCTGCCGGATGATTACGCTCATTGGTGCGAGACAAACGCGAGATATGCGAGACAATGCCGAGTCTTTGCCCCGCCCTCCGGCGCGAGACAAATGCGAGACATGCGTCTGATGTCCCCAATCGCCTATAGCGGACCCAACAGCCCCATCGCAGGAAGTCTGCCAATTGCGTGTAGTCTTGTAAGCCTGCCCTCTCCGCCATTCTCTTCTCTTTGAGCCGAAAAATCCTGCGGGTGCGCGGCTGACTGGCAAAAACATAGCGTTCTTAACTAGAATCTAAGTACGCTAAGTCCGCAAAGTCTGTTAGGTCTATACTTATACATATACTTATTTATTTACTTACAAGTGCCATGCATGTACTCTAACTCCAGAATAAGTATCGAATAAGTTCGATAATTTTTGTTGTACTTATCATACTTACGTCCATACTTATCATACTTTAACTATACATTATCTATACATATCCTGGTTATTTTATGCTTATAAGTACGACCGCCTACTAAGTAGCAATGACGACAGGTCAAACTATCTTGAATCATGTCTTGATCTGGGACGAACGAGAAAGCGCCCGTGTGCACAGCTTGATGTTCACGGCGCAAATGACCAATCAAAGCTTTCCGGCCAATGGTTTCAAGGCACAATGGGCACTCGAACTGCTTGGGTGCCTCCGGAATGGGTCCAGCAGGTGGGAGGCCTAGCATCTGTTGAATGGTTCTGGATGTTTTCAACTTCTTGGAGACCTGAGCCGGAGGGGCAGTGGTCTGAGCACTCGAAGAGGCATCATGACTTTCTTGCATGTGTTGAGTCAGACCTATGGCAGACAAGAAGGCCATCTGACAACGTGTGCATTTGTGCAAGCTAGACGAACCTCGGTGTCCAGTCTGTGAGCAGGATGTTGATGACTGACGGCTGTCACTCGGAGAGGCCTTCTGTTTCTCGTCCTGTGTGGTCGATGTCCTGGTCAGGCGAGAGGTCGAACGATCATCCTCTGGACGATCTTCTGGCAGCGTTCGAAGCATGACAGGCATGACTGGAAAGTGCGACACATCATAGGTCTGCCCTAGCATGACACTGAATTGAAACAGAACTCCACATTGATGGCTCTGGACATTATGACTAGCTTGGTCACAAAGGATGCATTGGCCCTTTCCAGATCCGAGTTGGGCGAATCCGTATACCTGTGTCCGATGCAGTGGTTCATATTGCAGGAGTTGCGGATGAGCATCTTTGTAGTGTCTACGAATCGATCTAGCAGCAATAGCCGAATGGCAGTAGGCACAATGATTGGCTAGTTCGCTCATGAGGGCTTTGTTGAGGAGCAAGCCTGGGATGCTTTTGTATCTGAGATGCATGCGAAGATCTGGTCGGTCACAGATCGGCACAATGGTGTCCTTGGCAGGATCAAAAGACAGGCAGACTCGCTTGTTAATGTGATCTCTGAGTCTGTAAAAATCAGTGAACTGTTTCAAACAATGTCTGCACGTGGAATGACCATTCAATGCATCACGCAAAGGAAGAAAGAGATCCTCAGGATGACATGGAATCTGATGATATTCCCTAAGATGTCGTTTATATGATCTGGCCTGGGTGAAGGCTCGAGCACATTCCGGGCATCGAAGGACAGGTTCCTGTGGCATGTGCATGGAATCACGGAGGGGTGGACTAATTTGTGCTTCAGGATATACTGGGACCGTGACACAAACATCTTCGACTGATTCATCCATGGCCGAACTGCGGAGAAAGTCCCGTCGGTGGTTCAAGGCTGTCTTGAGTCTGTGAAAATGGTGTTGCAGTGTAATCCATGGAGGCCTAAGGCCAAGCGAGGTGAAGAACTCTGCGGTGGGGATGCGAGTGAGATGTACAGGAGCATGTGCAATCAGGCGATGGTGGTTATTGATTATGCCAAATGATGTCTTGATTGCCTTTGTAGGTGATGCCCATCTCAAAGATCCCATACAACACAGTGGGAAGGACACATTGGTTGTACAACCTAATTCGGATCTTGATGTCATGATGTTTATCAAGAAGCCACCTGCGGAGAATTCGAAAGCACGTTTGGGCTGCTGTGATCCGACGTCTGACTGTGTCAGCTTCCCATGCTCTATAACTTACAATGGTGCCGAGGTACGAGGTTTTGCTCACAAGAGGGATCGTTAAGCTGGTATCTGGCAGGTGCAGTACAGGACCTGTTGTAGGTCTGCTTGTCCATCGGCGGAGAAACGGATTCAATGCGCGGCCAACCATGCGAGTGAGTGCCACGCTCTTCTGTTGATTGATACGAAGGCCATATGCACTGAACACTCTAAGCAGGAAAGACAAGTCATGTAATGCAGCGAGGCCCTCACTCGGTGAGGTGAGAATCCATCTCAGGTGGATATCGTCTGCGTATATCAGGATGTGGTTGATGATCCAAGCATGATCATACTGGGCTAAAAGATCGTGAAGGATTAGATACATACTAATGGTCCAGAAGAAGGGGGCGTCTTTAGATCCTTGTTTGATGCCACCTGAAGCTTGGAACATTCCAACCAACTCCTTGTGGGAAATGCAGTACTTTTGAGGAGCTAACCACGAATGCACAAGGTGCTGCAAATCATTTGACAAGTCGAAAACATGGAGTGCACGTAAGACCATGGATCTGCTGATTGTGTCGAAGGCTTTCTCCATATCTAACGAAATTTGCAGGCCTCCCCAAAGTCCGTGTTTGGCTTGGTCTTTGCCATGAACTCGGCACAATTCTCTCACAGAACGGCAGTGGTGTGAGATGACCAACAGACAGTCTCGAGTGCCTCGGTGTGCCATGTACGCGTACAAAGGCATGGTCTTGAGTGCAGGATAGGTGTGAGATTGCATGAGACGGCAGTGAATACCAGACATAACCTTTCTAACTGGGTGTTGTAGACATATCGGTCTGAGTGCTTCCGGTTTGTTGGGAGTCTTATTTGGTTTGGGCAGTAAGTGCAGCCAGCCTGTCGACCATCGGGGAGGTGGGATGCAAGGGTCAGTGGTCCAGGCTTGACGAATGCAGGCATATACGATGGGAGTTAGCTGGGGTGCGAATTGCTTCCAAATCAGGGCAGGGAAACCGTCTAGGGCCAGAGCCTTTGTGATTGGAAGTCTTTCAAATTCATGCTGGACATCTTCCTCAGTGAACGGCAAAGTCTGCAGGGGTGGTGGATGAGGAAGGGGAAGGTAGATATCTGGGAACAATGTCTAAAAGTATTCAACCAATCGTGCAAGTTCTGGGTCCTATGACATGGGAGCACCTAAGGATGCAAACATCTGGATCCTACGATATGGTTGCTTAGGACACAGTGTTCGGACTCTTTTATACCATTCATGCATCTGGTTGCGAAGGACCAGGGGCACATTCTCCTCGAGGAATGTGGTGAGTCTATTCTTACGATTCAGGCGATTTTGTTTGCGAATCAGCTTATGAAGCTTCTCAAACTTAGTGATATGGTGCCATCTCGCAAACACGGCCGTTAGGGTGCAAGGCTGTGATCGCAACAGCTGCCGACGAGCAAACCACATCTATGCGCTCATAGACCGTACCTGTGGGCAGAACAAATGGGTAGCGGGTGTGGTAGCCAAATGAAAGACACAGAGGTCACGAATCCGTTGTTCTATTATCATGCAAGTGTCCAATGCATTGGATTCAATCGAAATAGTGACCTAATAGAACAAATCATGCATCTTGTGTTATCTTGTGTTCAAATCGTTGCCAGTTGTCGTTCTGCAATTTAAAATCCTGCCTCATTTATTAACGGTCAATATGTACTTTAGGTGTTCGACGAGGAAGTACAAGCATATAATTAATAGTCGAGGTTATGGTCCATTATATAGCAAAGATCGTTCGAATCTAGTAAAGACCCGGGCTAAGTATTTCCTACCTTAATGTTAATGTGTCCTAAAAAACATAAAATCAATCCTAGAAGAATGAATACCATGTTAGAAAGTAGACTGCCATTTTCCTCGATAATGAAATATACAAAGATCAAACTCATAAACTAAACATTAAAATATATCTATATATCTATATAAATAAAAAGAAATAAAATATAAATAATCAACATCAAATAAGTAATTATATATTTTAACATTATAAATATAAAATAAATATAATAATATATCGAAAATAAATCAAAATAATATTATCGAAAAAACAAAATATATCGAACATAAAATAAATAAATATAGTAATAAATACCAAATCAAAAAACAAAACAAACATCATCAAATAACATTAGCATTAAAACATAACTCAAAATAGAAAAAAACACGTAAAACCAATCAACAGAAAAAAAAATAATCGGAAACCACGTCAAAAGAAAATGCAAAAAACACATCGGGTCTAAGCCAATTGACTCGCTTGTATTTTCTGAAATTTTATGATTTGATTTACTTTGACTTTTGGGACTGACTACTAAGTTGACTTTTTGTTTGACTGTCTTTACAGAAATATTGAAACAGGATCTCTCCAATGAACGGTTTTCTTAACATTATAACACTTGTAAGTAAAGTAATATTTATGGATTTTGGTATCTTGGTCTTGGCGTTGGTCTTTGATTTCCTGCAAGTTTTTGCTGGGTTGATGATTGGTGCTGCTTGGTATTCAAGATTGTGGAACTGAGTTTCCCCACACAGCAGGAGGAATAGTTGTGGATTGAATCCCAACCTGAGCTTCAGCAAAATCTCGGCAAACTCCCGGTCAATAGTCCACAGCTGACGACGTGGCAATCTTTGTTCCCATAGGGTCCATAGCGGTGATCGCAACAAAAGCCCCATTTGAATCCTGCAAGTCAGACTCTATCTTCAATTGGATTGAACATGCAAGTGTTGCACTGTGTGCTGACAAATCCAATCTAAATCAATCTAACAATGCTGTTGATAATGTGGCCTTCACGCCAGCAGTGCTCTCCAGGAACCTTTTGGCCAGCTCTTCTTTTGTGCGAGCCCTTATTCACATGCTCATCTGTGGCCAATCGTTGTTGTTGCAAGATTGACCAAAGATCTGCTGAATGATCTGAATGGAGAGGTAATATGTGGTCATACAATTTATACACCGAGCTCTGTAGGACTCTGTCCCCAGCTCTGGAGCTGAGGCCCTAGGCCAAGGGGGACCACCAGGACCTCGACGCCTGCTCGCTCGTCCGGGGACCTCAAAAGAGAAGTCCAGGTCAAGTTATCGTTTTGCAATATGAGCTCTTTATAGTCTGTTAACACAGATTACTTCCTTGCTTCGTTGACCACTGGATCTCCCATCGACCTGTGTATTAATGTATTCATTGCACAACCTTCGTAGTTGTTCGTAGAGTTGTGTGTCTGCAACCATCCTGCTTCCAGGTAGTGCAAGTGATTTAAGTAGCATTCTTCTTTGTTTTCTCTTTCTCTCAGGTGTGAGCAATACAGGACGTAGCTACCATCCGGTCCAACCTGCATGATCCGCTTGCTCTAACATGTTCATGCAGCACCTTCTGAAAACCGATCCCTAATCCAGCCATGTTCTCGCGATCGCAAACAGCTGTCCTCCAGGCTGCCATTGGTACATCCAAAAATGTCATCCAAAGAAGCCACCACGGGTTCAGGAGCCTAGCGATAACAGGTTGACAAAATAGGGGGGGAGAGTGATGGAGGGTGCTCAAACACCTTGACTCAACAGGTTGAGCATGGGTATACTGAACAATATATTATTGAAGACGTATGCTCCAGATTTGAGACCCAACAAGGGAAGTAGAAAAGGCATCCTTGCTACGTTGCCTTCTTGACTTCCTGCACCATGGGGGCAGCCTCAGGCTTTGGACACTAGGAGACACATGTGGGTGAAATGCAGGTTTCACTGCTGACTCTGAGGAGATTTACTTCAAGCTTCCATGAGGATGATAGCCCATGAGTGTCGATCTTCGTTCATGTCGTGCTGTGTTCACATGATGGCATGGCATTGCTTTTTCTTCTGCAAGCCGCAAGCCACTGCAAGCTGAAGTGTACTCCGATGATTTCAAGCTCTTGTGGATCTGTTGCAAAGCTGTGGCTCATAGTCCAGACTCCAGCATCAACATCACATCACAAATTATCACAATGCACTTGTCCCATCTTGTCCGTGTGGTCCTTCATCAGTATCATCAGCCGTCAATCAGCCAAAGGCCATTGTTGACAGAAAACACGCAGGCAAGCCAATCCATCATTTTCCAAAGCAACAGGTTTGCCTCCAAAGCTCCCGTCTGTTCTGGACAATCTTCCACTCTCTCAAGCACCGTCGGAAAAATTACCAGCACGCATCTGCAACAGCTTAAGCTTGAATAGTTGTACGCCACATCTCCCTTGTGTACTTTTGCTGGTTGTAAGATGTTGCACAATGCATCGTGGAGCGAGTGTCACAAATTGCAAGGTCACCGGGTTGCCATTGCCAGCAAACCTCACAGTTGAAGGTGCACATGTCGATAGGAAAACTGATTTTTGACCGCGAGGGAAAAGGACTTGTTTGCACTTTTCTCAGGCTGTGGTTTTCCAGTAGCCTTGGGGAAAAAACGAAATTGCAGAAGCGGAACTGTGTATGTGGGAGCCGTAGCATGCACCAAAAGGTCTTGCAAGATCGACACCTCGGATGACCCAATTCAGTTGAACACGCCGATGTAATGCTTTCGCACGTGCATTTGATTCTGCCATGAGCCACAACCCGTGGGGCTCTCCGAACCACAACCCGTTTGAATACCAGGGGGCCGAGTCATCTTCCTCGCCGTTTAGCTCTAGATTCTCGAGGCGTTCATGGTCCACTTCCTTTGCTGTGCTTGCTCAACACTGTTTGTGCTTCAGCATGCTCAAGCCTTAAGCATGCGCAGGCAAGATCTCTGATGAGTAGTGAATAAAGTTCAGATGGCGGATGCACTTTCCCGCTTCAGTTGGGGCTCTTGATCGTGCTCAAGAACACAGCAAGTGCTGGAATTGATGCCATAAATTGCATGTCGGCCTGTCTCTGGATGTTTGAGGGCCAGCGGAACACGTCGCGGTGGATTTCTTTTGCGCTCCTCTGAAAGACTTCTAGAAACAAGACATGAAAACAGAACAGCATGCAAAGTGTGGATCCAAACAGGATCAAACAGGATGCTTGGGAATGTTTGGGGCCCCAAAGACACCAACGATCATTGCAAGCCTCATCTCAGTAAGTTTCCCTAAAAATGTAGAAGCCACATGATTAGTGCGAACGCTTCTTCAAGGATCTACTCCCTGATTTAACTAAGTAGGTGCCTACTTAACTTAATTTATCATAATTTATCAAGTTAGGAGATGTTAGGAGGCAGGACCACGGGATTTAAACATCTTCCAAACATGAACGAAGACGACTGTGGGCCGGTGTGAGTCCTCTTCTGTGAGCATGGGATAGTCCGGATTACGTTTCTTGATCTTCGCGTCATGGTGAGTCAGGCTGCAAAGGCACTCCAACTTCCTCATCCAAGGCATGAAGGTGGCACGGCTCAAAATTTGCGAAAATACATTACCCTCGCTGTAACTTGAAGACACGTACAAGTCAGGAACTGTCAAGGTAGCCAAATGGCTGGCAAACCGATACTATGTTTTAAGAAAAATTGCACATGCAAACTCTTGAAAGTCATTGGAGTCATTGCTAAGGCTCAGTAGTCGCTCCTGTTGAGAAAAAGGTAGCCCGTCCCAGGCAGACGCAGCATCAGCAAAGCATGTAGCACCGCCCTCCGGTGGTGCACGATGGCAATAGAGTGCTGTACCTCTATCGTTGGGCCCGTTGGGCCTCTGGGGGCTATGATACGAACTCAGTAGCTCTATTGCCAAAGCAAGTCAGCAGAACTTCCAATAGTATCGCTTGGCTAATGCACAGGTCAATCTTCCAGCCCTTGCAATCAATCCATAGCTATAGTTATACTTTGTTTTAAAGCATGTCAGCATGTCAGCTCTCTTCTGGCCTGCATCCGGCTTCTCCTTAAAAGTGCCATCTGTGTGCCACACTGGCAAACGCTCCGCTGGGCGATATTGGCAAGATCCATCTTGTGCCAAAACATCTTCCTGAAAAGTTCAATGATTCAGCTTGCATGGCTTACACTGGAAGGCTGTACTGTATCGATCAAACCCTATATATATATGTAGATGGACCCTGGCTTGCCAACAGGAAATTACTGCCCGCCAACCCAGCGCGCTGGTGCCCTAGAACAAAACATTAACACTATTGTTGATTTAATTCAACACTGCCCAAACTGGAAGCTGGCCCGTCCTTAGTCGAAGATGGTTGTGAGATAAGGTTGCCAGTGTGGTCCCGTATGTTCCCAATGCGAAGAATGCATCCACCTTGGAGTTTACGTCGTGTCTGCTGTGAATTGCCTTATCTAGAACAAATAGCGCCCTTCTCTTTGTCAAGGCAAAGTTGTTCGAAGCTCCAACGAGCAGTTTCACCATCCTACCGATACCAACATCCATGCCACCTGGCCCCAGCTTCGCATGGTCCCGGCCCGCTGGAACAGGCCCAAGAGGTCCGAAGTGGCGGCTGATGGCTGCAAAGTCATCAGGACTAAGATCTAAACCTCTGATGACAAGCCTCAGAGAGTTGTGTGTGTGTCTTGAGAAGCTGGACAGCTGGCCACATTGGCGGCCACATGTTTTGGTATATGTATTTCTTTATTATTCACATGCTGGACATTGCTTGACGTTTGCTTCAGAGTTCTGAGCTGCTGACAACCTGGCCTGCAGCCAAGCGTGGCGCAGTGCCTCCCCTACCTCTGGCCGCCGCAAGTGGCTGGCGTCTGCACCATGCAGGTCTTGGAGCAGTGCACCAAAGCCTCCATTGAGGAACCTCATCCCGTTGTCTTTTCTTTACGAAAATCAATGTAGCCGAAACCATTGAGGAACGGTACCAATCATGTTGGCCACAAGTAATTCTAAATTCAAATCATTCTATCTCGACAAACTATACTGCACGATGTTTACTCTTCAGATCTTGAAATGGGAACAATCTGCCAAACATGTGTTTACATGTCGAGAAAAATCATGAAACATCTGTTGCCATCACTGATGTGAGTGTCTGGTTATGGCTCGACTCATGGCTGTTCCAGGACAGGTAAGCCGCCAAAACGAGAACAGTTGTGCAGTCCAGCGGCTCACTGCGAAAAGCAAAGCCACGTCGGGAGCGCAGCCTGCGCATCTGCGTGTCTCTCTATCAAACTATATCAAACTGAACAAAACATGATAAAACCGATTGTTCATTATTGATAATTGTTGAGCTTTGTGAAGATTCAAAGTTGAAGCACCAGCTTCACAAGGTCATTGATCACGAACTGGTTGATCCACTAGAAGCTCTTCACAAAGCTCAATATCTCTGGATAGATTGCCTGAAATGCCGATGGGAGATACGCCACATCGGACCGCAAGCGAGAAAGCCCAGCTCATTCTTGAACCGAAAAGATCTGGACAACCTGACATAACTTAACTATGCAGCCATACGATTGTTCGGACCGAAAAAGAATACAACAACAGCTAAGGGGCAATTCTAAGGGGCATGCTCTGAGGGCAGCCACATCCTAGGTGCTTCATGGTCGAGACCATCGCTGCCAACTTTCCTACACCAACTTTCTTGGGCCCTAGCAGGATTTTGCCTGGCACATTTTGCCACACGTATCTCCTGAGATGATATCGTCCCACAATTGTGATGTGTTTGCACTTGCTGGAGTGGTCAAGAGTTGATACCACAACCTGAGATGGGTGCTGACAGCTTCTTTGCTTCATGGTATAAGCCATAATCGAACCTGCAAATTTCCACAAGGTATACTTCGTGGCTAGCTGCTAGCTGGAGAATGGCTCAACAGGACATCTACAGGACATCTACAGCCAATCTGGCCTGTTCCTTTCAATGAAGCGAAGTCGCCTTAATTGATACGTGTGGGTTGTGCTCCTTGCCATGCCTTGTTGGCTTTCTGAGGCCCGATCACAGCCGTCACGTCTTGAACCCCGAGCTCTGACTCTGTCGGGATGTCCATCATGGCCTTCCGATTTGCGAGGAATGCAACGACATTCTAGGTTGGAGGCCATTGCTATTAGAAGGGATGGCCTCCAACCTATAAAGCATTCAATGCACTCGATGTCTCGACACAGTGCAACCATTTCATATGCAACCTGCCTCGTGCTCTTGGTATGGCCGGATTTGAGTAAAAAGCAAGGGGCGGGCCTCAAGGTCTCAAGGTTGCCAAGTTACAAATGCTCGACCAGCGTGCAAACCAACCACATCACACTGGGGCAATGTCAGCTTCCAGGTTCAGCCCTCAGAAACACAAGTCAGTTCCAGTCACGCATCACATCGTTTCCCAGCCAATTGAAGGCATTGTGTTGACTGGTTTGCTGTGTCAATGCACATTCAAAGAGCCAACGTCCAAGACGTGTTGCGATTCACTTCAAAATGGTTCAGGTGCACTCCTTTACACGCCCGGGTCATCCACCCAATGTGCATGCGAGTTGAAGCGCAGATCTTGCAAAGTCCTCCACGTTGCACCAGACCGCGTAAAACATGGTCAACTTAGTTCCCGAGTTTGGTTGAAAACAGAAGCGCTGCACAAGTCCTCAACTACGATCACAGCAGACATTCGCTGAAACAGGATCGACTTCGCAACCTGACTTCAACTGGTTTCTTGGTTCCTGTGCACTAACAAATCATACCAAGTTTATCCTGATGTGTCGCGGCTCTTTTGTGTCGCGAGCATTCAAAATTATGAAGCAATGTAAGTTCCATTAAAAACAATCCATAAACTACAACTTTGGCTATATTTCCCTAAGCCCACCTAGCCCACCTGTAGCTCAGCAGTACCCTAGGCACACAGTTCAAAGGAACTCCTGCTTTAGGCACTGCCTTTTTTCGGCCTCAGTTTGAGGGATTCAACCCTAATGCATTCAAAGTCCTAAGGACTCTGAAGTCCGAAGTGTCCAGCTTGAAGAATTCTGCGACGTCTTTTGTTTGCATGACCAATGTCTCAAGAGCCCACAGGCGATTACTCTCATCTGCCAAGATCGCTCGTTTCGACAATCCGTAGTTCTTCCCAAGCCAAACCAATTCCCGCCAAACCTGTTGCTGTTAGTAGTCATAACGCCACCTCCTGGGCAAGCACTCTGTGCAAGCCCATTGGCATTGCTATTCGCAACTTGTAGACCCATTTTGCCATCCCCACCACGGACAGCAGAATGCCCTTGAATCTTTGATCCCTCAAAGAGCTGGATATAACATATTATGTATGTTGAACATGTGTTACACAAATCTCGTACATAGGTCAAGAATGAATTCCAAGATTAGTCTAACCAAACACCGTTTAGGGCCTAAACGCCATGCATAAGTTTAGGCCATGCAAAGCCCATGCGCCCCATGCGCTCTCTCTTCTCTTCACGCCTCGTAATCATGTTCTGTCAAGGGTGGCCTGGCAAAGCTAGATCAAAGGGGTGTGTACAGCAGTCTTGTTCACTACCCCTTCATGGCCCTTAGGTGTGTGCAGAGTTTCGAATCGCTTTGAACTCTCAATTCAAAGCGTGCGTAAGGCGAGCCGTAAGACTTGTCGTAAGACATGCTGCGAGGTAGTGATTTCTTCATTTATGCTGTCCATTCTTGCAAGCCTAGTAATCACATAGAAAGAGACGAAACTGAAGTCAATTTGGTTGAAAAATGCGGTCGGTAGAAAGAACATAATGCAACAATATGTATCAATTCACTGTAGATATAGCCATAGCGCTAGTGACGTCAGCAGAAATGAGGCAAAGAAAGAAGAAAAGGAAACCAAGAAGAACGCAAAGTCGTCAAAATCCGTCAAAGGTCAAATTTCACTTGCCATCTTAAACGCTATTAGGTTGGAGGCCATCGCTAGTAGGTTGGGGACCATCGCTATTAAAAGCAAAGAAACACAAAAAAGAAGAAGGGTCATCGGTGCCCAATCTGAGAGATCTGACCCGTTGAGATCGGTGCGGTTCAGCAGCATCCGGGTGTAGTAGTTGTCACCTACGATGCATGGCATATTGGAGCACACCCCCCTCTACTTTGATACAGCTAAGGCCATGGCTATAAATATGTGGCGATGCCCTCAGTGAAAATCGAATATGACGTTGGGGGTAGGCCCCGTAGGCCAAGCTCTTGAAAAAACAACTTTCAGCCGTCTACAGTGCAGGTTATGTACTGTGTTGAGCTGAGCAGTGGGCGAGATGCGAAAACCAGATACACCAAGAACAGAATCCTGCAATCACGAATTGAAGAATGAGGCTGACAAGGAGGTAGTAGTAGTAGTAGTAGTAGTAGTAGTAGTAGTAGTAGTAGTAGCTGATTGATAAGACTGCAAAGGATTTTTTGACTCATGCTACCAAGAGTTTACAGATTGAGCTTGCTCAGAAGAAAGGGGCCATTTACCTTCAGCAAAGGTGGTTCTCCTGCTTCAATCGTGAATGTAAACCTCCTCCTTCCTCTGATCCGGTCGTGTGCCATGTTGAGGAGGTTGTTGGTGAACAGGTTCAAAACCCTCGTCAACTTTGCTCTATCTGGCCATGGGATGCTGATTCAGCAAGAATACTTGGACCTCCTCCCTTGACCACGACATTCCTCTGAAGACGACGAGGTCGAGGTCAATTTCTGTGCGAAATGTCCGTACTTTTATTTGGTTCAGTTCTGCAACACTTTGCGGTGGCAGTTGGGGGAAGGAAAGGCGTGCTCTGTCTTTGAACTCGCAATTTTCGCATACTTTCAAGACTTTTGATTTGGTTTATAATTGCAACACCGGCGGCCTATGCCTAAGTGTTGAGAGATGGATTTGCAATTTGTACATTGAAAGGAAATGTGGTGGCCCCGTTGCATCTTGAGTTTAAGAACAAGAACGATGGGAAAACTTTCCCCAAGGCCCCAAGGATGCTTCCATGGTGCCGAAGTCTGGCTACCCAATTCTGTTTTGGAACATGTCTGCTTCGCTTTACTTGGTTGACAAGGCCACACATTTGCTCGGACCTTCTCATGGCTGACTCTCTGGGGCGCAGGCAATGTGAGATGTCGGCGACCACCAGGGACCAAGCCTGCGGTATCGGATGATGGTATCGTCTAGGAACTTTGGATCAAATGTCTGATGGTTTTCCTGGAGCTTTTCCTTTGCGCGGTTCCGTCAGAGGATGCAAACCATCGCAAATAAAGAACACGACTCCCGCTCCACAATTCACTACAGTGTCACACAGCGCTGCACATTGTTCAACACATATATTTGTCCAATCACCGAGCCCTTTTCCGGAATGATGATGCACAAGTTCTATTGAGCATTGCACCTGACAAATGTCTCAAAGTGAAGTTGTTGTGTGCCTCTGGTGTTGGCCAGCCACGCAAACAGCAAGAGCCTGTGGACAAACTGTTCGAACATACAGTGAAGTGGCAAGCGATTCAAATCATACTGGAGTGCCTGCACTGTTGAAAGGCATGGTGCCTGGAATGGCAACGCCCTAGACAATATCCACCACAATGAACACAAAGGAGAAAAGCTGTGTAAATTTAGCGTTAACACCGGATAACACCAAAAAACCAGCCATATCCACCTGTCCCATGCACCTACTTTCGCATCCATCCCTTGCATGTTTGGCTACAGTAGTTGAGGGCGCAGCCATCTCGTGACGCAGCTGACTCCAGAAGCGAGACCAAGGATCACCTACAAACGCATTGAGCATCATTGTATACCAAATATGAGAAACGTCACATGTGAAAATATTGGAGGCCATTGCTAGTAGGTTGGAGGCCATCGCTATTAAGTTGGAGGCCATTGCCATTAGTATCAAATAACAATGGTTTTTTTTTGATATGTGAACATTGGCAAGCAGAGATCCAATGAGTCCCAATCGTGCCAAGTGGTAGCAGCGGGCGGTCGCAGCCCCATTTGTGCTGAAGGGTTTCTCAACAAATACGAAAGGCCGGACGTGAAGGCCCCTTTGGGGCTACAAAAAACCCGGCACTTGGCAAGGATATTTGGAATTGACAGGCAAGGCCAGTGCTGCAATGATCAAACATCCGCTTACGAGAAGAGTGACCACAAGTAAATGCCCTGAGGTCTGGCAATGCACAGACAGCACCTGAGTACAAGTGACACAGTGATCCGTGATCGCTGAGATCCAGTCGTTACAAAACCGATGTTGACATTGGACGAAAATATTGAATTACAAGTAGTTCCCGGGCAAGCCGGCGGCGGAAGTTTCATATAAGAACAAGTTAACCTATAGGAGTGTCCACGTTCCCTCCAACATGCGCGTCCTCCAGTCAAACGCACGCGCTCCGGACTTTTGACCCACGGGATTCCACGTGTGTAAGGTGTGTGCCCCCTGCAGGATCAGCAGCTCAAAAGAGCGTACTGGGTTGTATCTTTGCCACGACAAGAGGGGTGTATGACGAGTGGTGTATGTTGAGTGGTGTATGATGAGTGGTGTATGACGAGTGGTGTATTGACCAGCAGTTGAATGTCCTGTCCTGCATAAATGCAACCAAATACTATCAGTATGAACTGTGCCAAACCTGCACGCCGCGAGAGATGACTCAGCAGCGAGAGATGACTGAGTCGCGAGAGATGTCTCAGCCGCGAGAGATGGCTATAGCGAGAGCTGACTCAGCAGCGAGAGATGAATGAGCAGCGAGAGATGACTCAGTCGCGAGAGATGACTCACAGCAGCGAGAGCTGACTCAGCAACGAGAGATACTCCTCCGCGTACTACACTTGTACTACAAAGTGGCCAGTTCTCAGCTTCCAGCTCCACAGGTTGTTCCGCGTGCTAAAGTTGTACTAGAAAGTCGCCAGTCAGTTCTCATCTTCCAGCTCCCCAGATGCTCCGCGTACTGCAGTTGTACTACACAGTCGCCAGTTCTCAGCTTCTAGCTGCACAGATTGCTCCGCGTACTAAAGTTGTACTAGAAAGTCGCCAGTTCT